TATTAATATTATTGTTATTATTATTATTATTGCTGTTGTTGTTGTTCTTCTTCTTCTTCTTTTTCTTCTTCTTCTTCTTCTTATTATTTTAGTAAATATTAGGTTGGTGCAAAAATAATGACGTAAGAATGTCGTTTTTTGACGTTAAAAAAATACGTCAAAAAACGACATTATTACTGTTGTGAATATGGATTATCTCCTCTTAGATAATCCATGCTATAAAAGCTGTAAAAAAGCTGTAGACTTCCGCTGTCAAGTCAGATGAGTAGTAGTATACAGCTTTTATAGCTTGGATTATCTAAGAGGAGATAATCCATATTCACAACAATTACGTCATTATTTTTGCACCAACCTAATAAATCACTCGAACGAACTCGTCCAAAAACGAAGAGACACTGATCATCATATCCGGAATATTCCCAACCTTGGGCCAAGTGACTCAACTTTTACTGTGTTTATGTTGTTTTTTTGTTTTTTTTTTGTATGTTTTTTGTCTATGTAACAACTGAGTGCCAGTGTCCGAAACAACGATGGCCCACCCAGTTCCGTGTTAATTTGGTCTCGTTGACGCCTACTGATCTCACTATCGAAGATAGTTCGTATATATAATACGCCATATATATCTTTAAGAACGTTTTATTCATTTTTAGAAATTCATTTTTAACTTTTAAAATTATAATTAAAAAGAAGAAATGGAGGTGGAACAATTTTTGTAATAATTCATTAGTCCTCGAAAGATTTTGTTTTTCTAATCACGATAAATCTTTCATTTATATTATTTATGATAGCAATTAAAAGCTTATACTATTATATAATTAAATAGTTTTAATGCAGTTTTATCTTACGATTCGGAACATATCTTGTGGTAATAAATTTAAAAAAAATATCTGTTGATACGTCGCTCTTAGTAGGACGAGAAATAAGCAGACTCTGAAATTGCAGATTGAAGTTACAGAGTGTCAAGTATTAGACCTTTCAAAATTTACACACAAAAAATATTGTGCTTTGGAAACTTTTGCAGTAAACATAATTTTTGGTTGTAAATACGTGACCTATATGAGGATAGTATACGGATATCTTTGCTTAGGTGTTTATAAATTGTACATTGCTCAATTATTAACGTTAACAAGGAAATATTTTAAATGACAAAATTGTACTTCGATTAAACGAAAATTACCAGTGAAAGTAGCTCTTCAGTACAGTTTCCATGAAAATATTTGTAGAAAAGACAGAGGGAAGCTACAGTGCGTCTGTGAGAAAGTGACTGGAGTCGAGATGCCAGATCAGGGTCTATCACATTGCATATCCGTCTCTTGATTTTGTCGAGGATATCGAGATGAACAGCGGGGTCAGCAGACCATATATGGCAACAGTATTCAATGAACAGTAAGAACTAAATTCTATCTATTTTTTTTGTGTGTGTGTAACAATCCCTTTCTTTCCCAGATTCTGAAATTACAGATTGAATTTACGGACTGTCTAGGAATATTCAGACCTTATTATTTTTATACAAAAAATACTGTACTTTGTGAACATTTGTAGTAAACATAATTTTGGTTGTAAATATGTAACATTTACGACGATAATATACGGATATATTTCCTTAGGTATTCTTTTATGTTTTGGAATGACCTTGAGCTGTGTTATTTAATATTTTAGAATGATTTAATATTTTGGAATGATCTTGAATTATGTCATTTAATCTTTTTGGAATGATCTTGAATAATGTCATTTTATGCTTTGGAATGATCTTGAACTGTGTTATTTAATATTTTAGAAAGATTTAATATTTTGGAATGATCTTGAATTGTGTCATTTAATGTTTTGGAATGATCTTGAACTGCGTACTTTTATGTTTTGGAATGATCTCGAACTATGTTATTTCAATATTTTAGAATAATTTAACATTTTGGAATAATATCGAATTGTGACATTTAATCTTTTGGACTGATCTTGAACAGTGTTATTTTATGTTTTGGAATGATCTTGAACTGTGTTATTTAATATTTTAGAATTATTTAATATTTTGGAATGATCTTGAATTGTGTTATTTAATATTTTAGAATGATTTAATATTTTAGAATGATCTTGAACAGTGTTATTTTATGTTTTGTAATGATCTTGAACTGTGTTATTTAATATTTTAGAATTATTTAATATTTTGGAGTGATCTAGAAATATGTTATTTAATATTTTAGAATGATTTAATATTTTGGAATGATCTTGAATTGTGTCATTTAATGTTTTGGAATGATCTTGAACTGCGTACTTTTATGTTTTGGAATGATCTCAAACTATGTTATTTTGAATAATTTAACATTTTGGAATAAATCGAATGACATTTAATCTTTTTGATCTTGAACAGTGTTATTTTATGTTTTTAATGATCTTGAACTGTGTTATTTAATATTTTAGAAATATTTAATATTTTTTGGAGTGATCTAGAAATCTGTTATTTAATATTTTGGATGATCTTGAATTATCTTTTTGAACAGTGTCATTTTATTTTAGAATGATTTTGTTATTTTAATATTTTGAAATTTAATATTTTGGAATGATCTTGAATTGAATTATTTAATATTTTAGAAATTTAATATTTTAGAATGATCTTGAATAGTTTATTTATTTTGTACTGATCTTTTTAGAATTATTTTATTTTGGAGTGATCTAAAATATGTTATTTAATATTTTAGAATGATTTAATATTTTGGAATGATCTTGAATGTGTCATTTAATATTTTGGAATGATCTTGAATTTACTTTTATGTTTTGGAATGATCTCAAACTATGTTATTTCAATATTTTAGAATAATTTAACATTTTGGAATAATATCGAATGACATTTAATCTTTGGACTGATCTTGAACAGTGTTATTTCATGTTTTGTAATGATCTTGAACTGTGTTATTTAATATTTTAGAAATATTTAATATTTTGGAGTGATCTAGAAATCTGTTATTTAATATTTTAGAATGATTTAATATTTTGGAATGATCTTGAATTATGTCATTTTATCTTTTGGAATGATTTAGTGTCATTTTTATGTTTTGGAATGATCTTGAACTGTGTTATTTAATATTTTAGAATTATTTAATATTTTGGAATTTTAATGTTTTGAATGATCTTGAACTGCGTTCTTTTTGTTTTTAATATTTTAGAATTTTAGAACAATTTAATATTTTTTTGGAATGATCTTGAACAGTGTTATTTAATATTTTAGAATGATTTAATATTTTAGAATGATTTAATTGGAATGAACAGTGTTATTTTATGTTTTGTAATGATCTTGAACTGTGTTATTTAATATTTTAGAATTATTTAATATTTTGGAGTGATCTAGAAATATGTTATTTTAATATTTAGAATGATTTAATAATTTTTGGAATGATCTTGAATTGTGTCATTTAATGTTTTGGAATGATCTTGAACTGTGTACTTTTATGTTTTTGGAATGATCTCAAACTCAATGTTATTTCAATATTTTAGAATAATTTAACATTTTGGAATAATATCGAATTGTGACATTTAATCTTTGATGATCTTTGAATTATGTCATTTATCTTTGAACAGTGTTATTTTATGTTTTGTAATGATCTTGAACTGTGTTATTTAATATTTTAGAAATATTTAATATTTTGGAGTGATCTAGAAATCTGTTATTTAATATTTTAGAATGATTTAATATTTTGGAATGATCTTGAATTGTGTCATTTAATGTTTTGGAATGATCTTGAACTGCGTACTTTTATGTTTTGGAATGATCTCAAACTATGTTATTTCAATATTTTAGAATAATTTAACATTTTGGAATAATATCGAATTGTGACATTTAATCTTTTGGACTGATCTTGAACAGTGTTATTTTATGTTTTGTAATGATCTTGAACTGTGTTATTTAATATTTTAGAAATATTTAATATTTTGGAGTGATCTAGAAATCTGTTATTTAATATTTTAGAATGATTTAATATTTTGGAATGATCTTGAATTATGTCATTTTATCTTTTGGAATGATCTTGAACAGTGTCATTTTATGTTTTGGAATGATCTTGAACTGTGTTATTTAATATTTTAGAATTATTTAATATTTTGGAATGATCTTGAATTGTGTAGTTTAATGTTTTGGAATGATCTTGAACTGCGTTCTTTTATGTTTTGGAATGATCACGAACTACGTTATTTCAATATTTTAGAACAATTTAATATTTTGGAATAATATCGAATTGTGACATTTAATCTTTTCGGCTGATCTTGAACAGTGTTATTTTATGCTTTGGAATGATCTTGAACTGTGTTATTTAATATTTTAGAATTATTTAATATTTTGGAATGATCTTGAATTGTGTTATTTAATATTTTAGAATGATTTAATATTTTAGAATGATCTTGAACAGTGTTATTTTATGTTTTGTAATGATCTTGAACTGTGTTATTTAATATTTTAGAATTATTTAATATTTTGGAGTGATCTAGAAATATGTTATTTAATATTTTAGAATGATTTAATATTTTGGAATGATCTTGAATTATGTCATTTAATCTTTTTGGAATGATCTTGAACTGTGTTATTTAATATTTTAGAATTATTTCATATTTTGGAATGATCTTGAATTGTGTCATTTAATGTTTTGGAATGATCTTGAACTGCGTTTTGGAATGATCTTGAACTGCGTACTTAGAATAATTTACCATTTTGGAATAATATCGAATTGTGACATTTAATCTTTTGGAATGATCTTGAACAGTGTTATTTTATGTTTTGGAATGATCTTGAACTGTGTTATTTAATATTTTAGAATTAATATTTTGGAATGATCTTAAATTGTGTTATTTAATATTTTAGAATTATTTTTTATTTTAGAATGATTTAATATTTTGGAATGATCTTAAATAGTGCCATTTAATCTTTTGTAATGATCTTGAACAGTGTTATTTTATGTTTTGTAATGATCTTGAACTGTGTTATTTAATATTTCCTCGTATTTTCTCATAAAATATACATAGATGATTTCCTCAGCTTCTTTTTGTCAGCTGAGGGCCTCAGAGAACGGGCGCTCAATGTGGATCGAATTCGCTGCAGCAGCGACAATCCGTGCGACGAGTTCGCTGACCTTATCAACGGGCTTGGCATCAGGTGCCTGGGTGGTAACGAAATTTATCTTTAATAGAACAAGTCTCAAACATTGCAGTCTCCAATGTAATTTGATGTAATTTCGTTAGAAATTGACTATCGATAGCCATTACTATATGCCTCATTTCTTGCATATTTATTAAACTTAATTTTTTCGCCACAGGGCTACCATAATACATATATAACACCCACGCCACACACACACACACACACACACACACACACACACACATATCTATATATGTATATACATATCTATCTATCTATCTATCTATCTATCTATATATATATATATATATATATATATATATATATATATATATATATATATATATAGGTTAGAACGTTCGCTTTCTGACCATGAGACACGGGTTCAAATATCACTACGGTTGATTTATCAGGAAGGAGACTTCCGATGTTATCGGTCTGACTTGCATATTTATTAAACTTAATTTTTTCGCCATAGGGCTACCATAATACATATATAAAACACCCCACCATATATATATATATATATATATATATATATATATATATATATGGGGGAATAAAGCTTGAATATGTATGTCATTAAATGACTCATGTCCATGAGAAACTATATATTACTAATTTTATAAAAAATAAAAATTTACTGAATCAAACAAATGAAATAGCTATTCTTGGCCGACATTGTCAAAAATATTCCTTAAATAATATTTAAAAATGAAATAAAATAATATTAAATAAATAAGTAAAAATTTAAAAAAAAATGGGAGCTGGTCATATACATACTTATATTTGATATGTAAAAATAATTTTTAAATAATTTCAGTAATTCTATTACATTTATTTGTTTAAAAAAGAAGAAATATATTCTGTAAGTAATTAAGAGTAAAAATAATACATTAAAATTGTAGTTCAATATAACGTATTCTAACCCAAACACCCCTTTTCGAAAAAATCTTCATCTATACAAGTACGAATTGAACGGAAAAAATGCCGAAAAACTTTTTCTCGTTGATAAAAAAACAAATGATATGTGTCGAAAAGATGTCAAAATTCTTTGAAAAATGCACCCCTACGATACCCAGACTTTTTTGAACGTAACTCATAATTGATACAATAATAGTTAATAAAAATGAACACGCTACGGCCCCTGTCTAAATGATTGGATTTCTCTGTATCCTTGGAAAAAAAAAAAAAAAAAGAATTATGTGTGCTTTTAAAACTCAGTAAATTTAAAAATAAGTTATTCCAAAATTCGCTTGAAGATGAAACAGAACTAATGGTTTTAATTTAATTATATAATTAAATTTGAAGATTTTAGCTTCGGTTTTTGAAACATGGTAATTCAAATGTAGCCATATTTTAAATCAGTTAATTTATAATATTCATGCTCAGTAAATTTACATTCAGCACTGTTTTGTAAAAAGAAAAATATCAATAAGATCACCGGATTATATATCTTACTGTTTTTTCTTTTTTTTACAAATATATATATATATATATATATATATATATATATATATATATATATATATATATATATTAGGTCGCTTTCGAGCATGAGAATTCCTGATTTCATCGGACTGGAGGGGGACGATCCCAGCGTGCGGCACCTTTGGAAAGTGCCTGAAAACCATACTACAGGTTGACTCAAGGCTTGTGAGTGAAATTGTGTAGACGGTAGACCTGTGGGCCGTCGATAGCTGTGCTATCACGAAGTCATCGTGACTGACGGTTTGAGTGTACAGGACTTCTTCAGATTGATCATGCTAGATTACACACTCTCTCCCAGAAACTGTAACTAAGGTCTGCTCAGCAGAGTTGCAGTATAAACCACAGGTGGGCTCTGTCGGTGTTGAACAAACACAAATTTGTTTCAGTGAGCGTCTGTAGTGTATATATATATATATATATATATATATATATATATATATATATATATATATATCGAACCCGTATCCTATACAGAACCATCATATAGACTGACGTGCCTTAACCGATTGACAGTAAAATCAACCTTGCTAACCAAACGCTCCTCTGTGGCTTATTCGGTTAAGGCACGTCAGGCTATACGACGGTTTCGTATAGGATACCGATTCCTGTCGGAGGACGAATATTTTCTATGAAAATGTCTCGGACAATCAGGCCGGTATATGTTGTTTAATACTGTTTATTATTAACAGAGCATTTACTTAAATATTTGTATCTATAAAAATAATCTATAAACTTAAAAATGTCTTAATATATATAGATAGATAGATATAGATATAGATATATATATAAACATAAAAATGAGGACAACATATATATATATATATATATATATATATATATATATATATATATATATATATATATATATACCATTGTGCAAAGTAATTGAAACTACCGCGTTAGTTTCCTTTCTTTCACCATACGGTCAGTTTTAGAACCACTGGTGTGAAAGTGTGTAATCGATTTCTAAATTTTTTTCAGATTTGTTCATTTGCATTGGTGTGAAGTAATATTAATCTATTTTCGTAGTATAAGATGAAATTTCTGTGGCCTTGAAAAATATTGCTTTATCCGTGGTTGCATCAGCTTTTTATCACACCCAGACACTATTGTCTCGACTGTTGATTAGTTGTCAATGTCTGCGATGGACGTTACTCCAAGAAAGTGTACGAAGATGGTAACGCTGCACCAACACACTGGCAAGACTTAGACAGATCAAAGTACTATCTACTGGCTCAGAAACTCCCCTGATGTAAATCCAATCGAGAATCTGTGATCAATTTGGAAGGAAATACTTCTTGACATACGAAATACTAACATGAGCATATATATATATATATATATATATATATATATATATATATATATATATATGATCAAGCTCTTTAGTGTTATAGAACACGATTGGTCTAGGAGGTGGAAAACACTTACACGAAAAGCCTGAGGTATATTGTCTGCTTCGTCTGTGGCATTTATGAGTGTATCAATAGTTCCGAAAAGTGTGGAAGGTTCTGCACAAGCCTTCACCACTTTAATCAAATCACTTGTATGGGTTCTCTGGCGGTTTACCTTGATTCGTTCTTATCCTTGAGCACTTAGCCTTGGAGCGTGTAGAATGGAGATCAACGTGTTTTAGTGGACTCAGCAATTTTCAATCGGCTTGTCTGAATCATCTTCATGAAGCGAGAGCAAGATCTAAAAGATCAACCAATCCAAAAGTGATCTCCTCTCACAATCCTCACACTTGCTCCATATGTGGCCTCCTTTGTAAATCACTAGCGGGTCTTAAATGCCACTTAAGATTATCGCACACACTTTCATAACTGAATCAATAAGCTGTCAGATCCTCATACGTCCAAGAGAGAAAGAGTCCATTATATATATATATATATATATATATATATATATATATATATATATATATATATATATATATGTGTGTGTGTGTGTGTGTGTGTGTGTGTGTGCATGGGAATTTTTGTGTGTGTGTCATTAGTAGAAATGTTGATATTTTATTTTTTTATTAGCGCTATATCAAGATTGCCGTGGGTCGTACGAACGATTTGACTTAAAAGAAAGAATATAGTGAAAGGTTATTAAGTGATACAAACACAATATTCGAAAATGGCGAAAATATTGAACAAAGATCAAAGGGGAGTCAAGAAAGAGACGGAAATATTGGCAAGATAAACATTAAAAAAACCCACAAAAAATCAATGACTGTCTCTAAGTGTGTCACAAAAAAATCATAATTATTTTAGAAAAATAGAAACTAAAAAGCGGGCAAAAAATAAACTGTCCAACAAAGAAATACAATTGGAGTAACAAGTTTAACCAGAAACTGAAGATTTTAAGTTAAGTTAAGGATATATATATATATATATATATATATATATATATATATATATATATATGAAAAGACAGTAGGAAAACTATAATGGTAGCCGACGCGTTTTGTCCAATACGGACTTTTTCAAGGTAAAAAAGAAATGAATTTATTAAACAAAATAACTCTGAGGATTTTTTTATATATATATATATATATATATATATATATATATATATATCATTAGCAGACTTATTGATATTTTACTAGCGCTATATAAAGTATGTCACAAAAAATAATTTGAGACTTATTTTCGTAAAATATAAACTGAGAAGCGAGCAAAAAAATAAGCTGCCCAAGAAAGAAAGAATATTAGCGTGTTGCGTTTAACTGAAGATGGAAAATTTTAAGCCAACAATATTTCTTTACAATACTTACATTGTTGGGACTGTTGTCCTCATCTTTATTATCATATTAACGACGTTTCGGCCTTCTTCAGGATCTGTCTCTATTTCTGAGATGAGGTATTATAACTATTTGCACTATTTACATTGTCCTCACCTTTATTTTCATCTTCACGACATTTCGGCCGTTGTACGCCCCGGACTTCTTCACGATCTGTCTCTTTTTCTGAGATAAGGTATTGTAACTATTTTAACTATCTACATATTTAGGAGTGTTGTCCTCATCTTTATTGTCATATTCACGACGTTTCGGCCTTTACAATTGAGTTGATTTTATATATACTCTCGACTCTCCCGTCGAATTCGATATATGAGTATCAAGCTGATCAGTTCGCCGGAACCGAAAGCACGACACAAGCACATGAGATTTGATTATAGTTTTGAAGGTTTTGTGCAGAACCATCCACACTTTTGAAAGGCTGAATACTTTCTCTTTATTTATATATATATATATATATATATATATATATATGACATTTTATGTTTATACATTCTTTTTATAGATACAAATATTTAAGTAAATGCTCTGTTTATAATAAACTATTAAACAACATTTACCGGCCTGAATGTCCGAGAAATTTTCATAGAAAATATTCATCTTCCGACAGGATTCGAACCTGTATCCTATGCGGAACCGTCATTTAGCTTGACGCGCCTATACCGACTTGGCCACAGAGGAGCGTTCCGTTAGCAACGTCGAATTTACTGTCGGAAGACGAATATTCTCTATG